ACACGAGGGTCCAACCTAATTCCCACCTTCTCCAAAGTCAAGAGCATAATGTGCAGATGAAAAGGTGGAAAATAGCCTGGACTTCATTAGCATGCAGCGCCCGGCTGTTCATTTGCTTGCCGCGAATGGAAGTTCTGACACTCGGCGCCTTCTGCAATATGAGAAAAGTCCTCTTCAGAGTATGTGATGTCCTTACCCGCCAGGAAAGGTCATCAAAAAGGCAGGCTCTGACCTCGCTCCCTGCTCTTCATGACTAGTTTATTGATTCCAGGAACACCTCATTACATGCCGGATCAACATATTATTGCCATGTTCAGCGACTGAATTGTTTACAAGTGTCTTTATAACCAGCAAAAGCCTTCCGGATGATGCATGACTACACTCATTTGGATGTGACCTGCCAATTATGTGTTATCCGATATGTTGCTGTGTGGCTTGATCCCTGACCAGGCCCGCGGCCCCGCATCAGCACAGTCCCATTTACTACTTCTTCCTAACCGCTCTTTGGGAAAGTGTCCATTAGCCTGTCAGTGTGTAAATTTTTTTTTTTCTTTTTTTTTCTTTTTTCTTTTTTTTTTTTTTACCTCTGCGACGGGAAATCTGAGCATTATTGCTCTGTCATTTGCTATGCATGAGGTTCATCATCGGTTGGGGGAAGAGATTTTTTTTTTTATGGCACCGTCTGATAACCTGCACGATTTGCAGTCAGTGTGTGCGATGGGAGCGGGGCTGGTTCCTGAGCCCTGCCATATTTTATTCGGCACGAGCAGCGCCCGGCCGCTGATTTATTCACCAGAGGGAAGGCAGAAGCAAAGCCCCCTCCCCAGCCTCCCTCTTCCCTGGCTCCAAAGGTTCAATAACTTACAAATGTATTTTCCTCTTCTCCATATTTTTCTGCTGTTTGTGTGACCATTTGCTCACTGTATGACACTGCCTTATTTATCCTCAGCCTGCAGCGGGGTGACTGCGCGGTGCCACACGCACGGACACGAGAATTCCAGAAATAAATCACAGAGCACGACTACTATTTTAATCTCTCATTACAGACACTTCTATGGCTCAATAAAAAGGAAAAAAGAGCGGAGGAGCAACTCGATCGGAAAGTCTGTAAAGACAGATCGCTCCAAAAAGCTCCTTAAATGACTCCATTTGCTCTTCCCCATCTCTAGTGATGATTATCCTCAGTGCCTGCTAGAGCAGTGCGGAATGGGTGAGAGGCAATGTGCCTGTGGGATGTGGTCCTACAGCATGGGATGTGATCCCACAGCGTTTTGTGCCCACAGAATTGTACCCACAGCACTGTGCCCATGGGATATGGCCCCACAGCCTCGGGCCCATGTGTGTTGTGCATCTGCAGTGCCCCGTGGCCTGGCTGAAACATGGCTTGATGTATGCACATGTAGCACTGTCTGCTCAAGGCTCTGCAAACATTAATTAAGTTGCCTAACACCCCCTGGCAAGAGCTGGTGTTGAAATGCTCTTGCTGTGGTCCAAAGGGACTTACTGTCTCCAAAGGTGAGCCAATGGCAGAAAGGACACAGGTCCCCAGCACTGTGGTGACAGGGGGACTGGGAGGGGCTGTCCATGGCAGGAATGGGGTTTGCAGCCCTGACCCCCATGGCACACGGCTCTGCCCTTCTCTGAGCTCCCAGCTCCTGGCTCTTGTCCTTACTGCTGAGGGAGCCTGATTGGATTCGATGATCTTAGAGATCTTTTCCAACCTTAATGATTCCATAATCCTATGATTCTATGACTTCTTACCAGGGCAACTCAAAACTTGGTGTAGTTTTCAACTGCTTCAAGCACTTTTGCTGCAAGTGTTATAGGAAACAGAAAAAGGAATGGTTCTGTGCATTCGATTCAGAGCTGTGAATACAAGAGCTGGAGCAGCAGTTTGAAACACAGCGCGGCTGCCTGGCTGGGCAGCCAATTTCTGTAAGAGACCAACTGTGGAGTGGGGATGGATCCTGCAGGCTCTCTGTGCTGGCAATAAAGCAGCATGTTGCCACACACCGGAACAAATTGGCCCTTCTATTCATCTTCATTATCCACGCGGTTCCACTGGATCTGAGCTCGCTACAAGTGGATTCCCAATATCTATGTAAATCTCTCCCTTCCTCCACGTATCCACTTGTGTTTATTAACATGTGCCAGAAGCAACGCTCAAAACACACGCCATGCAGATGAGGAAATTAGTGGGAACCATCCGTGTCTGTGTGCTGTTATTGTCCCGATGACGCAGCTGGAGTGGAGTGCTGGGGTATTACCCCTGTAGTTATCAGTGTTGGTCGTGCATTAAATGTGTGCATTTAGAAATAAATTTGACAAGCCTGGTGCCGTGGGCCGACATGGAGCTGGGCTTCTGCATCTATGCAGGATGGAGGAAGACTGGATTCCAAGAGTGGAAATGAGTGGGGAGAATCAGAGTGAACCACAGCAGGTGGCGAGAGGTACCTTTGCTTGCTCCGCTATGGAAAAGCGAGGAGCCTGTGTCTGTGCACTGAGTTACCCATAAAACTCGATGCAGATTGAATGGGGCTGAAAACCTCGAGGTGGCGTCGAGGTCCCACCCGTGGCAGCCCCATCCAGGAGCATCACCCCAGCAAAGCCCTCCCGCTGCCAGCCCAGCTCCTCTGCGGGGCAAAAATCACCTGAAACAAAGAGGGTGGGGGCACTGTTATTAATTACTGGTAATGACTTATTTATGCACTGTTACTGGTGGCTTTTTGCCGAAAGTAGGTGATTATATGTACAAGATGAGAACCCAGCAGCTAAAGGCAGCCCAGGCAGCTAAATCACGGGAACAAGGCTCCGCAGCTCGGCGCGCACGTAGCAGACCTTGCCAAGTGTTTCAGAACTGAATAGTCATTGGGTTGGCAGATAATTCAGAAACTATTTGTATGAGCTGTTTATCAAATTATTAACTGCACAGATGTTGTTTGGTTGAAGAGCAGCTGAACCTTCTCTCTGCCAGCCGTGGAGACAAAGGTCTGCAGGAATAATTGGAGATGTGCATGGAATATTAAATTAATTTACTGCTCTTAATTCTTATGCAAATCCTGACCTCTGATAGAGCCTATCAATTACCCTGCATACAGGGAAAAGAAAGGAGAACAGTTTCTTTCTTTTCCCCCCTCTCCCCGCTTTTTCTTTTCTTTTTTTTTTTCTGTTCTATTTTTCTTTCTTTTTGAAAAGGAACTTAGGAAAGGAAATATTTGGGGAAGAAAAAAAACAACAACAACAAAACAACCCCCCAGGAAAAAGCCATCAGTGGGAGAAGCCAAGAGCTGGGATGATTTAATTGAATCCCCCGGTTGTAGCAACGTCCTCGGGGAGCACAGAGCCGTTTCTAAAATAGAGGGGGGGGGGGGAAGCTGGGAACAGAGGCCGGCCCAAATAGCTCCACACGTTGGCAGTGGAAGGCGATGGGACCAAAAGAGGCCTTCGGTGCGATGGGAGACGTCGGGCAGGGCGGCTTTGGGTGCCCGGGTTGGGCATCGCATCCCAGGGGGGAGCGGCGTTGGAGCCGCCGTAATTAACGGCGAAGGAGAAAGGCGATCCGTCGGTGAGTCCATTGTGAGATCCCAGGTAGAATGAAGGACGATTTAATTGGTCCTCGTTAAGAAGAGCTATTTTTCTAAGATGGAGAAAAGGCCTCGTCTTCGGCACATTTTTTTCTTAATTGGGGTTGTGTACGCGCCGTTTAGTCAATGCTTAAAAAAGACTCCGCTCCTTATTCTTTCATCATATTTTCTAATACGGATAAATAAATAGGGCGAATAATGCGAGCCGTCTCCCCCCCGACCTCTGAAAGACCTCAGCAGCGAAATGATGTTTCGAGCTCCTTTCGTCACATCCAATATGCGCTGCCTTTCAGCTCTCCGCAGCCCAAACAAAAGCCATACAACAATATCAATTAATCATGCAGCAGGCAAACAAGGAGATTTATTCCACTACAAATAGCCTCACAGAGAGATGCTGAATGGGCTTGATTAGCATGAGAAAAGAGGAGCAAAACTCCACAGTTCAACAGCTAAAGAGCAATTTGATGGGGCTGGGATCGGGAAATTACTTGATTAGCGGCTGCCGGAGGAGAAGGCGATCGGGACGCGAGTCCGGGGAACGGGAAGGGGCTGCGGGGGGAGGGGGGCAGGGCTGGCTGCCTTCGCCCTGGGCAGGGGAAGCCCGGCTTTCCTGAGGCCGGTTCGCCACGGGAGGAGCCCAGCCGGGGTCTCCCGAAGCTTCCGTTTGAGCAGAACGATAATAAACTGGCCTTAAGGAAGGAAAATCTTAAGAGTAATAAAGCAATCCCAACATCCCGGCCTGCGCTGGCTCGCCTTCCCGGCTGGTTTCGTTTATCTCACATTTAATGAGTGAAAGGTAATAGAGGGAGAAAGGTTTAAAAATATTAAAAAAAAAAAAAAAAAGGAAAGAAAGAAAAAAAGAAAGAAAGAAAGAAAGAAAGAAGGGGGAAATAAAAAAAAAAAAAAAAAGAAAAAGTGGATAAATTTTAGAAAATATATTAAGGGAAGGAAAAAAGAGAAAAGAAAGTGGCAATGGGAAAAGAAGCAAGGAGGAAGAATGGGCACAAAGCAGCGCCCGTCGGGTTTAGCAATCCGGATAGGAATTACCGGGCCCGGCTCTCTGCTCCACGGCTTACGTAGGGAAGGGGGAATAAAACAAAACAAAATTAAGAAAAAAAAAAAGAGAGAGAGAGAGAAGAAGAAGCCAGAGCCAAAGGAGTCGCTCTGCAATTTATTCCAATGGGTGGCTTTTAAGAAGCTGGCAATTTGAGACGGCTGGGTGTTATTTAGTGCAATATGAAATCAAATGATCCTATTTCTCAAATAACAGTGTCCGTGAGGAGAAGCGAACGCTCTGAAAAGGTAATTGGCTCCTGATGATATCGCCATTACAGCCCGGTCCCGGCCTAACCGGGGGCTGCCGGCACCGGGTGGGGGGGGGGGGGGGGGGGGTGCCGGCGGTGATGCCCGGGGGGTCCGCGGCGTGAAAACCCCGAGGTGCTCATCCCTACCGCCCGGCTGGGATGCGCAGGGAAGCTTAGGCAACATCCTAACTGGTTGTTTGGTTTTTTTTTGCTGTTGTTTTTTTGCTACTATTCGCTCGTTACCAAAGGAATCCTGCGGCTCCCCCACGCTGCCCGAGCTCCTCCTGCAGCCGGACACGGCCCCGGAGCTGCGCGGTGCCCAGGTAAGCGGCGGGGGGGAAAGGGGTGGTCGAGGAGAGCGGCCCCTGGGCTCCGTTTCCCCATCCCAGCCGTGCGCCCGTGAGCGTCTCGGTGCGAGAACGGCAGGGTTAAGCCGCTCGTCCTTTCCCGCAACGCCTCTGCCCAGCGGCAGAAATAGTCGGGGTTTAAAGGAGTGGGAGCATCCCTTTCGCTGGCTGCGTTCGCTGCGGCCGCGCTGCCCGAAAGCTAAAAGACGCCCGAATGAAATCGCTGCTGGGGAATGTCGGAGAAAGGAAATTAAAAAAAAAAAAAAAAAAGAGGGGAGAGGGGGGAGTGAAGGGAAGCAGGAGGGGAAGGGGGAAAAAAAAATTAAAAGGAGGGGAAAAAAAAAAAAAAAAAGCGCTAAACACGGTTCCCAGGGAAGAGGAGGATTGAAGGGACCAGGGACCTACCTGAGCCGCTGCCCCGGGCGCTGCCGAGCCCGCTCTGCCCGCACCGCGCCGCACCGCCGCGCCGCCTCAGCCCCCGCCCGCGGCTCGGGGGGTTTCTTTCGTTGGTTTCTTTCCTCTTTCGGTAATCACCATTACAACAGATGGGATTAAAATGCTCGCGGCTCTGCTACCCCGACAGCCTTTAGGACCGGAGGTGCGGGAGGCGGTTTTGCCGTCGCTCCCGAAAATTACCCTCGAGTCGATTTTCTGGTGCAGGCTTTCTTTCTTTTTTCCTTTCTTTTTTCCTTTCTTTTTTCCTTTCTTTTTTCCTTTCTTTTTTCCTTTCTTTTTTCCTTTCTTTCTTTTTTCCTTTCTTTTTTCCTTTCTTTCTATGTTTCTTTTTCTTTTTCTTTTTCTTTTTCTTTTTCTTTTTCTTTTTCTTTTTCTTTTTCTTTTCTTTTTCAGGACTGAGAGTTTTTTAGAGTTGTTTGGTTGCTTTTCTTTTCTTTATTTACTTCTTTTCCTTTTCCTTCTCTCTCTCTCTTTTTTTTTTTTTTTTTTTTTTTTTCTTTTAGCATATGCTTTAAAAAAAAAAAATTCATATGCTTTGCTCGGCTCAGCATCCATTCCGCTCGTCCCCTGCTGCAGAAAGCAGCCCTGGGGGTGCCGATGGGGGTCCCGGAGAGATTGCCCGGGGCACTGCGAGGTTTCCAGCTCCCTATCTCTCCTATGAATGGTCGCACAATTGCGATTAAACCGTCGGGGTGTTGCCCTTGAAGAGGTTACGAAGTTGCCTTGAACTTTTTGTTTGTTTGTTTATTTGTTTGTTTGATTCCACGCTTCTTTTTATTGAAAAAAAAAAAAAATACTAATTAATCCACAATCCCTGTAGGAAAATGTGTAGGTTCGTGAAACGCTCGCTTTCCCTTTTAAGTCATTTTTGGAAATAACAAGCAGGGATGTAATCCTTAGGATGTGAGAAAAGGGTTTAGCCGGATGGTGACTGATGCACGTGAGTTCTGGGTTCATTTTTCTGCAAAAAAAAAAAAAAAAAAAAAAAGCCAAAAAAGGGAGCAGGGTTTTACATATGGAGGGAGAACAAAGGCTTGCTCCTTGCAAAGTTTGCTGCTGTGGGACATGAGTGTCCCCATCAGCGCTGTGCACATCTACCCCCAGGCAAAGCACGTTGGACTTCAAGCTTGTAAGTCAGCCCAGCGAGGCAGACCCTTACTATTCACACATCCTACCTGGTTACCCCTTCTACTACTTGGAGAGAGCTCTAAAATTACTTTCAGCCCAGAACACACCGTTGGAATATTCTCAGTCTGTTCTCAAGGTTTTTTTGAGGGCCTCTGCTTCGGGTACCTGCTGAGAGTTGATGTGATTTTTTACTGTTGCACGCGAGAAAATGGAGTGCAGAGGGCAGGGCCCGGTGATGCTGAGCTCTGAGCAGACACAGTTTAATTAATTTAACAGTCCTACACTTGTTCTGCTTTTCGAATGAATGAATGCTTTCTATGTAAGGATCATTTCATTCATCCCCATACGGGACGGAGGGGAAAAATAATAAATAGCAGAAAACCAGCATGAGAGTGAAAAATACTGTGTCTTCTCAAAACTGGATTTCAAAGAGAGAAATTAGGGAGACGGCGTAGAGCTGTCACCCTAGGTGACGTTCAGAGCAGCTCTGCTGCTCTAGCAATTCACAGGGTCCACATGCAGTTCCACACCTCGTGCAGAGGGAAAAACAGAAGGGGGAGAGACAGTGACCACACCATCACCAGAATGCAGTTCTGATCTGAACATCACTCCAGCACGAGGGAACATACTGATTTTCCGTGCGTGCTGTTTGCTGACGTGCTCAGTTTTTGTCTTAAAGTCGCCGACGACTCCCAAATGCTCACGCTGAAATAGAAACGTCTTTTAAGAGGGTTTAAGCATTTTGGTTTATGGCAGACCTTGAGAGAGAGGCTGTGTTTGTAAACCCATGCAGAGAGCAGCACCTCGCTGCCTGGGGCAGCGGTGAGGAGCAGCCACAGAACTTCTCCTCCATCATCCCAAACTGCAGACCTCATCCAAGTGCCTCCCTTTGTTTCAGGCCCTTGTAGCCTGGAGCACTTGTTGAACCTGACGACAAGTGCATCAAAGTGGCTGGCAATTATGAAATAAACAAATATCATTTGAGGCATTTTGGAGCCGAATCCAGTAATACATAGATTAGCTTATTGATGTCGTTATCGCGCCGAATATTATTCATACTGCTGATATTTCTGCTGTGCAGTAGCATTCCACACTCAGCACACATCACATTATCTCGCTATGCAAAAGGCTTCATTAATCACACCAGACAATGGGCCAGGCATTCTCCCTTTGAGCCGGGAGTTTTGGATCTTCAGTCTTTTCACCTTACCTAAATGCCTCATCCCTGCCAACATGGAAAGCAACTCTTCAGAACAGATCTCTCTCAAATGCGGTGCTAAAAGGGAAATGTTATCACGTTCAGTTGAAAGAATTTCTCGCTTGTTTTATATCCTCCTTTCAATTTTTTTGTGATTTCTGGAGTAGAAGTGGGACAGGCGGCAGGCAGGAGGGGAATGTGCTCACAGCACTGCTGTTTTCCAGAGAGAGGATCTGGGCAACAATACAGAACCAACTCGCCTTGGCACCAAGGAGCAGGCTCTGAAAGAGAGGCAGGGTGCTCCCATTGATAGGAACACTCTCAGGTGCAGTCTCCCGTCCTACTGAGGCATAAGATCTGCACAGAAGGACATCAGCATTGTTTCAGTGGGAGCAACAGAATTCAAAGTAGTGTTTGCACAGGGCGCTCCGTGGTGTAAAGCAGGCAGATGATGTAAGGTCAGGCAGGACTCGAGCCCTCTGATGGCTTGCTCTGAGTGGTCCGGCTCAAATTCAGCCTCGCGTCTCACATCTCAGAAAACCTAAATTCAGTTCTTATTTCTCCAGGGACGGGAGAGCTCAGCACTGCCAATCTACTCGTCCCTCTTCAGACAAAAGCAGCCACTTCAATGGAGACTAGAAGCTGCTGGTTAATTCCTCACGTCTACATCTCAAACAGCAGCGACTGTGAATCACTGAGACCCCAGATCGCCCCGATACCCTCTCAGACTCATGGCCTTGGAGCAGCCAGAGAAGGGCTGGACATACAGGATCCCTTCTGGTCCACTGACGACAACATTACTAGAGACTTTCAATGATTTCAACAGGCTCTGGATAAGGCCCTTACATTCTTAATAAACACTGTATGGCTTTAAACACTGTATTCTTGTTCTTAAGTTTGGTATTGAATCAGGTGTTATCAGTGGCTCCCGTGTTAACAAGTTCTTGCTGGAGGAACTCATTTCACCTGTCCTGCTGGCAGCAAACACTGTGCTCTTCAGTAAGACAATGTCTTTTCTATTTATGCATCAGACATGGGGAATAATAGGTTTCAAGGAACTGCAACGTTCAATAAAAGCGTTTTATTACATTTAAATTTATTAAAATTTAAACATTAAATTCAACATGTTAATTACTGCTTCCACGCGTTGACACTGGCAGTCAGAAATGGATCCACACAACTGCTCTGCCGAGATATGTTTGCTGGTGTTATTTGCTCTTTGATTACTAATGTATTATTAGTGCTCTTCATTTGGGACTTGATTCATTAACAAAAAGACGTATATGGGCATTATGCAAATTTTTTGTATGCCTTTTACATAGCTACCAGGGCCTGCATTATAAATCTAATTGAAAAAAAAAAAAAGAAAAAGAAAATATATTCAATTCTTTTCTGGCTTGTGGGCAAGCCTCAGTCAAATGTACAGCTGCTTCAGAAACCAAGGCAGAGCACAGAGGAAAAACCCCTTTTCAGAACATTGCTGGCTTTCTGCAAATCCCCTTGCAGTGAAATCAAACAAAACCTCTGGGCTGCTGTGCTTTGACTGAACTGACAGGATGGTGGTGAAGAACTGAGATCCCGCAGCCAGATGATTGCTGCAGTGAGGTACAGCCTGCACCTTTCAGGGTGCTGCTAACTCTCCAGGGGAGAGCGGGATGCTAAAAGCACACATGGCTTCCTTCCTAAATTAGAAATGATGGATAAAGCTGTAAGATTAGTGCACATCAATCCCTTCGTTTGAATTGAGAGATACCTTCATTTGGCAGCTATTGGGGAAAAAAACCCGTCATTTCATTCAAAGTGCATTTAATAAGACAGAACGAGACAGATTTCTTTGACAGTTTTACAGCTCTTATCAGATTACATTAAAATTAAATTAAAACAATCTAAAAGAAGTGTTAAGTACTAAAGGGAGAGCACAAACAAAACACTTCTCTTTGTAGGCTTTCAGGGACGGGGTACTGACGTGAGTTATCAGGGATGGGAGTAATAAGATTATTCTTCAGTCAATTATGAGCCCATCAGTGTCAGCACGGAGGATCTCATCACAGAACTGACTTACAAAGCCTCAGAGGACGCGAGCACAACCCTGCACCCATGGAATAAATGGTCAAGGGGCATAAAATGGGAAATATATTGGAGTGACCAGGCGACAGCTCCTCAGGACCCCTGGCCTCACGTTTGCTTGGCGTTGGGTCACAAATAGAACATCAGCAGGGCTGACACAGTCTGAGACAAACCGTGCGGTCCTACAGGTCCCTCCTCCCAGGCCGGACGGCTGATTCCATCCAGCTGAGACCTGGAAGTCTCGGTTGGGGAATAACATTTTCCAGTATGTAAATATAATATACGCTCGCAGCTTCTGATTGCAATAGAAGGGTTTGAAAGTTTTGATATTATTTTAGCAAGCGCAAATATTTTCAAAAGCTGTTTAGTCTTCCAGAACCGAGCCTGGTATGTCACCGGTACGGGTTTGACAAAGCCAAATTCTTTGCCTGTTTTGAAAAATAACAAAATTGTAGTATATGAAAGTGTTTTCTTGTTCAAATGCCATGTAGCATTTGACAGTTTTCTGCACTGACAATCAGCGATGCATTCAAAGTATGTGTCAGGCTGACAGGGCGTTTCATGGCTGACATTTGTAAACAGCAAGTTTTTAGTGCCTCACCTCGGTGTCAGAGGGGAGATTATTGACTTTGACGTAGATATTAGCAATGCGAGCTCTTACCGGGGACTTTAAAAAAAAAAAAAGAAAGAAAACGATTTAACTACGAAGCTGCTATAAAAACCTTATTATTTCCAAGCAGCCAAGGGGCCGCGCCGCTTGGAGCGCTGAAACCCCACACTGAGAAGCGGCGGCTGAGGCAGGGGGTAAAACACATGCCGGGGTAAACTGTGCCGCTTTGGGAATTGAGGCAAAGGCAGCCCTACGTTTTGTCTGTTGTCTCTTGTGGAAGTGCGGAACGGCGCTGCGCTGTGAATGACACGTATTTGCTTTCAGGGCGCGCTCGCACAGGGGGGCTGGGCTGCGCTGGGCGCCTCTGGCGGGGCAGCTCCACGCGCTCCGCTCCTACGCTCCCCGCTCCCCGCTCTCCACACAACACAACCGCGCTCCCCCCCATCCGCACAGCGCAGCGCGGCCTTCCGGGGCGGGGCGGGCGGGCGGCGCGGGGCAGGGCGGGAGCCGTTGCGTTGGTCACGGCCGTAAACAGCGCGGCATGAGCGGAGCGGGCCGGGCGGCGGGCGGGCCGTGCCCCGAGAGCTCCCCGCCACGCGGCCAGCGGCTGGGCGGCCTCCTGCGGTGCCTCCGAGAGAGGTGAGGGGTCGTGAGGCTCGGAGCGCTGGGTTTGGGTGGCGGGGAGAACGAGCTGGGATTGTTTGGTGTGGAGGAGAGGAGCTCGATGCGCTCTGCGAGTTCCTGGAGGCAGGCTGTGGGCTCGGCCTCTTCTCCCGGTTGGCCGTTCCAGGCGTTTATAACGCTGGTACTCAAATGCTGAGAGGCTCTCGTGTGACAGTTCTTATATTTCTTTATCTTCCTGCTAGACAAGGTCTGCATTATGTACTCAGGTGCTGCCTGTCTGCTTGCTTGTGTCTGTATTGCTCGCTCATGAGAAAATATGTGATGCAATGCCAGCAGCGGAGCTAATTAATGACTTTTTTAATCCTTTGCCTGTTTTTGTTAATTTTGCATGTACTCTGTGAAAAAGCTTTTCTTCTTGTTCTAATTTCCCAGTGAAATGAGGTGTGTATGCACCCAGAGTATCTCCTAATAATTTGAAATTATTGGCCAGATTCAGTCAGAGCTGCAGGATACAGAAGGCTTGGAGTTCGTGAAGATGATGAATATAAATTCGTGGGAAGCTGGGCTCTTCTAGACTAGTTACATCCCTGGAGGTGTTCAAGGCCAGGTTGGATGGGGCCCCAGGCAGCCTGGTCTAGTCTGAGATATGGAGGTTGGTGGCCTTGCCTGTGGCAGGGGGGTTGGAGCTTGGTGATCCTTGAGGTCCCTTCCGAGCCAGGCCATTCTGAGATTCAGGACAGACCTGTGAGCAGGATGCTGGCAAAGCATGATGGGAGAAAGGAAGCAATCCTTCATGAACTAGCAACGTGCTGCCTGTGGTGCTGGAGAATGAGAAATAGGAGAGACGCCAATGGCATCTGCTGACTTTTACATCCATCAGGATATCGCAGTGTTCTTCATCGAGTCATGAAAATTACTTCTAGAAGTGTAAAAACAAGATCTTGAAATCTGCTTTTGCTTAGCTGTCCATCATGTAAAAGGAAATTGAAAGGATGAGATCCCAGATGAAGCGTGGCTTTTAAATTGCATACATGACATGAAAACGTAATCTTGCTTCAGACAGTGGCAGGATCAGATGGGTAAAATGGATGCCTTGATCTCACAGGCTGCAGAGGAGGAAGGCTTTCCTCTGTGCGGGGCAGCTGGGAGGAGGTGGATGTGTGTGGCTGTGACATGAACTCGTTTGTAGGCAGCACAGATACATGGAAAAGCATGCCTAGCCACGTGGGTGCATACAGCCCTGTCCATGTCACTCTCACATGTACAGCCTTCCTACCCAGAACAAATCTGTGATCATTTTTAACACAAAAACAAACTTAAAGAACTTGCTTTGATTGTTGCAGGGTTTATAATTCAAATTTACTGGGAGCCATTGACTTATCAGTTGCTAATTTTTGCTCATGGGATGGTTTCTTGCTTTCAGGAATGGATTGTGGTTATTATCACTGCTATTCTTTTCTCCTTCTGAAAACAGAGTTTTTTTTCCTAAGCAGCCTGGTCCTCCCCATGGGCCTATGTCCACATGTGTTTTGGGTGTTTAAGTTATAAAATAATTGTGTCTTATCATATATCGTATGTTTTCTTCTAGTGAAACCAGAAGACTAGAATTGGAAAGGAAACTGCTAGAATACAAAAGTTCTGATGCATACCTGTAAGCCTGATTTCAAAACTTTTCATTGGTTGTTTTATTTTAGTTACTAAGACTTCAGTTACTGGTGAAGTCACTTATGTTAACATAGCTACCTTATTCTGCTAATACTGAATGTTACTATCTTAACATCTGGCATGCATTTTAGTTTTGTGCAGTGTTTGTGGAGTCACTGTAGTGTGAAATATAGAAGGTGTTTCCTTCCTAGTGCTCTGTGCTGTCGTTAACATGTCACAGGATACCTGAAAGTTTTAGGAAGTGCTAAAGGATATTCTGGGTTCTAATTTTGCTCCCTGGATTGTTTCTACATTGTCTATTTAATGCAAGTTACACATGCAGTCTGGAATTAAGAAAAGCTTAAATAGCCATGTGGTATGCTGGCTGTGCATCTGGACTGGATGTTCAGAAATTCAGATGCCTTATCTGGACACAGTTGTATATAACATGTGCCAGGTTATAAGCATTGCTGGTGACAGCCCTTTTGAGAAAGACTAAACCATTAAAGCAGCAGACATGTCCCACATTACCCATTCAAATTAATATATTGTGTTTGCTTCTCTTAATAATTGCATTTATCTCAAAGCTTCTCCCTTCTTCCTCTCCTTTTTTTTACACATAAGCCACGAAATTCCTGTCTCACGCAGCTTAGACAGAAGGCTAGCAGTTTCTGGAACTGATAGCTCTCCAGTGAGCATATGGGCATCAAAAGATCCTAGCTCTCCTGAGTAGCTCTGAGGGGGTTATGAGCTTGAGAGGTATTGCAACGTAGATCTATTTTTAAAAGAAAAGATTATGAAAGGGGCATATTGTGTCTTTGAAACAGTGACTGTGGTGCTGCGTGGATGGAAGTCTCCTAAGATGCTGGGAAAGGCATCTGGAATTCTAGAGAGGAGCAGAATTTCAGGCATTCTTGTTTGTAGTGCCTT